TATTCTATAAGAATAAGAAAGGTTTCTTATTCTATAAGAATAAGAAAGGTAAGAATAAGAAAGGTTTCTGAATAACTATAAGAATAAGAAAGGTAAGAATAAGAAAGGTTTCTTATTCTATAAGAATAAGAAAGGTTTCTTATTCTATAAGAAACTTAGGAGGGGGCTAGAATGGAAGTGTTTGATAGTATACGAAGTTATTAAAATCAAAAGGCCACTTTAACCTTAGAGAATGTTTGTAGCTTTTTCTTTGAGCTTTCTCTTACTTAGAGAGCCCTTTTTTTTTTTTAATTTAAAAATCCCATTCTTTTTTCTTGCCTTCTTTTTCGTTTGCTTTGTTTTGTTTTGGCTTGAGCTTGGTGTTATCAGCACCATGCCTTTTTCGTCTTCTTGTACTTAAATTAAACTTGAATGTCGTGTGATATGTTATTCTAATATTAGAACTGGGTGAAAACATTCATTTCTCTAATCAGAGAAGGCTGGTTTAGGTGTTTTCGTTTTGTTTTTTCCTGCACCCAGTAAAATCAAACAGCTTTAATTAAGTAGGGTATCCTTACTTTAGATGTTACCGAGACCCCCAAAGGTCCACTTGCTCGCCGCTCAATAGTCAGTAATTGAGAGACAGGTGTTGGTGTAAGAGAAAGTAGCCTTTAATCAGGAAGCTGGCAGCCAGGGGAAATGGTGGACTCAAAGAACATCTCCAATTTTTCCAGACTTGCCAAAGGGTTTTATAGGGACGAGTGGTATGAGGCTGATTCATGATGATCTAAGCAGGGACATGCAGGCATAATCATAAAATTGCAGGTAAACATCAAAGAACTTCTCCGGCGGGTATTGATTAATGGTGAAGTCCAGTCACAAATTCAGTTCCTGTTAACCTCAAAAAAGATCTAGTTAGTAAGCTAGTGAAGAATAGTCATCTGGGTTAATAATTTTTTCTATTAATTATTCTGTGTACAATGTTAGCAAAAGTCATTATGTTCTTGCAATCATGTGAACAAGAATCATTGTATTCTAATGTCCAGCTTGCAAGTATGCGGTTTGGGTTGAGAGTGAGAAAAAGAAAATTTTAATATAGAAGTTTAATAAAATAGAGGCACTTCTTTTCAGGCTGTTACATAGATAGGACCCAGTTTAAAGCTTTAACTTCCTCATATACTTCTCTACTGACCTTAAGATGTTCTTTGTCTCCTGAATACTTCTCTGTCTTGTTCATATCATGTAATGCTGGAATTCTGCATGTAGTAGTTGGATTGCACACAGAGTGAAATATTAATACAGGGATCAGTTTTTCTGATGTAGACATATGGTCTGCCTTGTTAGTATAATTCATTTATTACCAGCCTTTAAAGAAGTCAGACATATGGAAAAGTTCACATTTAAAAACTTTGCATTTAAATGCACATTTGCATCAAAGCCATCTTTGTGCAAAAACTCTATGTATCTTTTAGCTGGGTCTGTTAAATAATTATTAAATCATGAGTTACATTAAAATAAATAGAAATTATTGTGAATATGTTTATCTAAAGGTTATTTTTTTATTGGTGAACTGATGAAGTCTTGTAAGTATCCTCTGGATTCATCAAAGACTGGTGAGATGATGATTATTTTTTTAAAAGGGCCATTCTCTACTTGTAAGCTTAGATTTCCTTTCTGATTCTTAACAGATATTTGAGAATTTTTGAAAATGGAACTAGTTTTGATCCCTTTCTCTTCTCATTCTTAGATTTCATGAATTGCCTATCAAATTAGCCTCCAAAATGACTTTCACAATTTTTCATCCTTTACTTTCTCCCAATACTATCTTTCACACCTTTCTACCCACCTCCTAGCTTAGCATGACTCAGTGGTTCTTAAATAGGGGTTAGGAAGTCCCATACTACCAGCATCTAGTGGGTAGAGGCCAGGGATCCTGCTAAACATCCTATAATGTACTGGACAACCCCCAACAGGGCCCCAAATGTCAGTGGTGCTGAAATTGAGATACCCTGGCCTAATTGAATTCTCCCTTCCATCCCTTAAAATTTGCTGCTACAGTAGTCTTGCCAGTGACTGACTCTGCTTTAATAACTTACCATTGCCTGCAAAATAAAGTACAGACTTCTTAACCCAGCATTCAAGCCCCTCCATTTGAAATCTAAGCATCAAATCTTAACAACCACTTATATTTGAATGTCCTGTTCTCCAGTCAAACCGAACTGTTTGTATTTGCTCAAACTTTCTCACTTGCCGTGTGACACTGAACAAGTTTGTTAACCTTTCTAAGCTTCAGTTCCCCATCTATAAAATGGTGGTAATAATAGTACATAACTGGCAAAGTTGTTGTAAGAATTAAATAAGCTTGTATGTTATATTTGCTGTTTAATATGATATGTCCTAGTAAAATATATGGTTTTATTTATCATATTACATATGTATTTTATTTGTAAATGTGTCTACTCCGACCTTCAATCAGGCCCAATGTCTTATTTGTCTTTGAATTCTCCCATGATATCCTATACATTAAAATTTGAGTGGACTTTTTTTTTTTTTTAAGATGACCAGTAAGGGGATCTTAACCCTTGACTTGGTGTTGTCAGCACCATGCTTTCCCCAGTGAGCTAACCAGCCATCCCTATATAGGGATCCGAACCCGTGGCCTTGGTGTTATCAGCACCACACTATCCCACGTGAGCCACAGGGCGGCCCTTGAATAAAATTTTAATTTTCTGGCCTGTAACTGGAAGAGATCAAAACTAATTTGACTGCCTGGCTTAATACTCTCATATTATCCTGCCGAAATGGGATTTTCTTGTTTAATTCAAATTCTTTAAAGTTTCAAACTACGCATTTATTTTACTAAAATATGTGTCTAGAACTATCCTAAACATTTAAGTTTGACACTTTAATATTAAAGAAAACAATACTACTTATTCAGATATAAAATAAAATACCTGTTGAATTGGATATGGTTTGATTTCTGTTTGCTACCAGCCCCGTGGAGCCCTCGGGAGGGTGCGGCGCTGGGAGTGCAGCAGCGCTCCCGCCGCGGGTTCAGATCCTATATAGGGGTTCAGATCCTATATAGGGATGACCGGTGCGCTCACAGCGCTCACTTGCTGAGCACGGTGCGGCCGGTCTCAAAAAAAAAAAAAAGAAAGAAATTAGATCAATGAAACAACATTGTATTGAACAACAAGAATGTTTTTGTAATTCACATTAGTATAAAGACTCAGTTTAATGTAGATTAATGTACTCTTAATGCATTTCATTTTTATTATCTGATCTTGCCCCTTCCCAAATTACATTGCTTTGTGTAATGTCTAACTTAGGTAACCAGTTTCTCCCTTACCATTTACAGAAATACGAGGGGGTTTTTTTGTTTTGTTTTGTTTTGTTTTTGTCCTTTTAGAGACCGGCCGCACCGTGCTCAGCAAGTGAGCGCTGTGAGCGCACCGGTCATCCCTGTATAGGATCTGAACTCGCGGCGGGAGCCCCGCACTCCCGAGTGCGCCACGGGCTCGGCCCCAAATTATTCTAACTATACCTACTTCTGTGCTTGTTTATGAGTAAAACTTTTAAATCAGTTATGTGATCTTTACTCTTGCTTTTTCAGATTTATGGACAAGAAGTTATCATGTAAGTTTGTTGTTTTGTCTCGGTTTCGTTTGTTTTTTTTTTTAATTATTCAGTTGCTTTTTACATACATGTGTCTCGGCAGTACATAATGTTTAGAGCAGCTTTCTAAAAATAAGTCCTCCCTCACTTTGACAAAATTAACAGGAGTTTCCTATGTTGTGATACTTGAAAATTTATCAACCATTGACTTTAAAGGTAAGCAACCTTCAGTTTGAATCTCAGCTCTACCATACAGTAGCTGTGTTACCTTGAACCCTGTTAACTTAAAAGCTCTAAGCTTCAGTTTCCTCATGTAAAGTAAGTATACTACTACATTATAGGATACTTATAAATTAAAATGTGGAAGAAAATGTAAAATGTTTAGCCCAGTACGTGGCACATAGTAAAGATAGTGGGTCAGACATCTCAGATACCTGTATTTTATACCACCTAACTTTTAGTGAATGATTGATAGCTAATGGACAGTTTTACGAAAATTTCTTTTCCCTTTTTATAGTGAAATTAAATGGTGGCAGACATGTCCAAGGAATATTGCGGGGATTTGATCCCTTTATGAATCTTGTGATAGATGAATGTGTGGAGATGGCAACTAGTGGGCAACAGAACAATATTGGAATGGTGGTAAGTAAAAATATAAAATTTCTCTTAGAGAATTTTTTTTTTCTTTTGGAATATGTATTAACTTTTCATATATCAAACTCTCAGATTTTTTTTTTTTTTTTTAAAGATGACTGGTAAGGGGATCTTAACCCTTGACTTGGTGTTGTCAGCACCACTCTCTCCCAAATGAGCAAACCGGCCATCCCTGTATAGGGATCCAAACCTGTGGCCTTGGTGTTATCAGCATCACACTCTCCCAAGTGAGCCACAGGCCAGCCCTTCAAACTCTTAGATTAAATGGGAGTTAGTAACCCCCAGAAAAGGCAAATAACAGGCAAGATTAGACTCTCCATCTCCTTTTTAGTTTTACATATGGCAGTCATTCAGATGTGATAATATCCCAGTTACTTGTAGGTAAGACCTCAACTATACAGAACCTTCTTGAGACCTAGGGCTTGAAATTAGCCGTTGGAAATTATTTTTTAGCTTTATTCTATAATAAAGGCCTATAGTCCCTGACTAGAGCAATAGTTCTCAAACTGTAACATGTATATGAATCCCCCAGAAGTCTTGTTAAAATGTAAATTCTGATTCAGTAGGGATGGGGTAGTACTTGAGATTTTGCATTTCTAACAAATACCCAGGTGATGTGGACCTGCCAATCCACAGATCACATTGTTTATTTTATTTGTATACATAGTTAACCTGGATTTTCTGGTTTATCACACCCAAAATTTAAAACTAGTCAAGGTAAAAGTTGTAAGGGATAATCACAATGACAGCAATTCACATGGGAGAAAACAGGAAAAACCAGAAGAAAACATATACTGAGCTCTCATTATAGGAGTAAACATTCCTACATTCATTAGGCCATAGTTGTATAACTACTGAAGAAGAGTTCTGATAATTATCAATAAGACCCAGACTTTGAATCCCTCTTTGTGTAGAACAAAACAATGTGCTAATAAGTGGTAAGCCCAAATTTCTTGGAAAAGCTGAATCAAAAAGGACAGCTTAACTTTAGCAAATCATTGAGCGTAAAGACCTCCAGGAAATGGGAAGAGTTCCTAATTGTTAGCCTAAATTTTTTTGCCTTGGTTTTTTTTTTTTTTTTTTTTTTTTTTTTTTTTTTTTTTTTAAGTTTCAGCAGTAGAGGGGTGAAGATAAACCTATCTTTGACAGCTTTGCCTGCGTAATTTTTTTCTTTTTTTGCTGCATATTTTTTTTTAAATAATTCTTTCCGAGATTTGTATTACTACATATTTCAAGTATATTTTTATTACTATATTTTGAAAAGCAAATCAGTATTCATAATTGAAAAAAACAGTTTAGAGTCTCTAGATAGCATACCCAACCCCCAGGATTTATGTGAACTGACCTGCCTTTCAAATACATTTCCTTATGAGTTTCTGTTGAATAAAACTATGGCAAAATCATCAGCAGCCAGTTTCTTAGAAAAGCAAGTTTCTTAATACCCCAAGATTTCCCCCAGCCCTTCTTTTTACAAAGTAGGAAGTCTTCATTCCAGTAAACGGTAGATGGGTAGATTAGGCTTTTAGTTCATCAATAAATTTGCTTAACAGGATTCAGAAAGGACTTAGCATCTAAATGTCAATTCTAATTTGAGAAAGTAATTTTTTTAGAGAATTCTGTGGCACTGCTCATTGGAATTTTATCAGAGAAGGAATTGAGCCTGGATCATGGATTCTTATGGCAATTTCCCCCCTAACCTTTGCTAGGCTTAATTTTCTTTACACAGAAATTGGTTAAGAGCAGTGTCATCCCAAGTCATTTAAATAATGAGCACCTACGTACTGTGCTAGGCAGTCTGTTATTCAACTTCTGGCATTTGTTATTTGGGGGGCGAAAAAGTTTTTATCAACAGACACTAATTCTTGCAGCTGAGTCATCACTTTGAAAATGAAACAATATATCAATCATCTTTAAGACATTTTTAGAGAAAAGGCAAGAACAGGAGTGAACTTTTTACTGTTCTGAAGTTAGAAGAAGGGAAATAAACAAGTTAAGGTTTTGTTCGAATTCTTTTTTCAGAAGTTGTTTGGCAAAGGAGATAGTTACTTTGGCTTCATTATTACCTTGTCTAAGTCAGTGACTCATTGAGGCCATTGAAATTACTTAATACTATTATATTAACAACAGTATTAAGAATGGGTATGTTGCAAGGGAGTAGTTAATTTGTTTTTGGGGTCTGTCATCTGGATAGTTACCTAATGATAAGCTTCAACTACTCTCTTCTGAGACACCCTCAGAGTTGTCAGTGGCATCACCTCTGTCTTGTCTTCTTAAGATTCCACTCCACCCCAGGTCACCTGTAAGAATGCAGTAAAAATTCTGTTCTATTATGCTACATAGTTCAGGAGCTCTTGCTAGAGTTGTGCTTCTGTAGCTTCGTTTTAGGTTCATATTCATATCCGACAACTGTGCCCTTTCAAAAGGCTGAAAGCCTGAGCAGCACTTTGCAAAAACTAGCATTGGAGCACAACAAAGGGAGCAATGAGGAATTCTGGACCCAGTGTTTCTGGTTTAATTTGGAGAATTGGACCTCAAACACAATTGCAAAAGATGAAGAAGAGTCCTACAAGGCAAAGGTGTTTACCAACTAGCCTTATTTTCTGAATATCATGTGACAAGGCAAAGAAGTATATAATGCTGTTTTAGAAAATGTTCATAAAAAAGTGGCTTTGTTTTGTTTTGTTTTTTTAATGATACTAAAATGAAAAAGCCCTCAGATCTGAAAATCTTAGTTATCTAAAATACCTTCTCTCCAACACTCCCCACTCCTAGGGAAAATGACAGACCATGGACAAGTTTAGGAGGGAGCTAGGGAGGAAGACCAGTTGTTCTGCATGCTTTAATTGGTGGGATGTGATGTTTATCATTTGTTGCAAAAAATAAAAAGCAAGGAATTTAAAACTCTGAGAACTAGGTAAGCATGTTGTTTAGCTTTCTACATTTCTGTTCCTAACTTATAAAAGTCTATAAACTCCTTCAGTCCCCATTGTCATTTTCAGCGCCTTGTTCTCTTTTGAAGCTGCTCTTTAATTCTTTGCCACCTTCTCACCTTACTCATTACTATTGTCTGCCAGGCTCAAAGACACTCTCCCACCTGTCTTGTTCCCTTCCAGTCTGTCAGCTGCAGTAATCGTAATATACAAGTTCATCTGTTTATTTAACAGGTACTTATTGAGCCCTCTGTGCCTGCCATTGTTTTAGGCACTGGGGATATTGCACTGAAGTCCCTACCCTCACAATTTACATGTGAGTGGGGGAGACAAAATCATAGTGTACGTGTAAATAAAGCGGAGAAAAGAACAAGTTACAGCTATCTTTACTCTAGCTGCCTACAAGCATAGCTCCACTTTGAATCTTATTCAGAATGCCTTTATGTCTAATGAACACTTCAAATTATTACATTTCTTATCATCCTCCTCCTGTCCTTTTACGTGTCGGTCTACTTGGCCTATCTGTGCAGTCTATAATCCATCAGAGACTTCTTGTTTTCAGTCCCCTAGCCTTCTAGTTTCACTTATTTTTCTATCCCTCTTGAATTTGGTTACCAGCCTTTTCACCTATGTTCTCATAAGTGTCCTTGCTTATCTTAATTTATGGCATATCTGCTAAGTCAGGCATTGTGCTCCTAGGGCTCTTTCTTTATAACTTCTCTTCCTGCCTTTATACTCTGTCCCACTGAGTCTCGTATATGTTGTCAAAAGTTATGATTGAGGGCCGGCCTGTGGCTCACTTGGGAGAGTGCGGTGCTGATAACATCAAGGCCATGGGTTCGGATCACTATATAGGGATGGCCGGTTAGCTCACTTAGGAAAGCATGGTACTGACAACACTAAGTCAAAGGTTAAGATCCCCTTACCTGGTCATCTTTAAAAGGAAAAAAAAAAAAGTTACAATTGTCATTCTCTCAACCGTGAAACTTTCACTGGCTCATTGTTGCTTTCATGATGCCCTCCAAACACTTTCAGATTGACATTTGCGGCCTTCTGAGATTGGATGCCAACTATCTTTGTTTCTTACTTCCCATCATGACCTTTTTTTTTTTTTTTTTAAAGATGACCGGTAAGGGGATCTCAACCCTTGACTTGGTGTTGTCAGCACCACGCTCAGCCAGTGAGCAAACCAGCCATCCGTATATAGGATCCGAACCCGTGTTCTTGGTGTTATCAGCACCGCACTCTCCCGAGTGAGCCACAGGCCGGCCCCCATCATGACCTTTTCACTGCATTCAAATTATATTCTTTCCTTGTCCCCTTGTACAAGGTACTTGAAAAAGTTTATGGAAAGATTCATATTGGCTTTCAATCCTGTTTTTCCATGAACATTTTGAAGTACACTCATACTTGGTCTTCATCTTCGTTCTGTCTAGAATTTACTACCTCCTTGTTCAAATTCTACCCAGTTTCCGAGGCCCAGCTGAAATATCTTCATAAAGCCTGATTTTCACAACTCTGATGCTGGCTTGTTCCCTAAATGAACTTACACCCCTAAACTGACATATTCTACTGTACCTATTTTTCTCATTGATTTTTGGATCCCTCAGGGACAGGCATGTGCATGTACATTTTAGTTTAGAAGGTGAAATGGTTCGATCTAGAAGATGTACATCTCTTATAAAGGGTTCAGTGGCTTCATGTCATGATTAAAAGACTTGAGTTATTTGGTGTCCCTATGGCTTGAAAAAAAGCCTCACAAACTGACATGTAATATTGACAAACCATTAATGATTTGGTGAAAATTCGTTAATCATTGATATGTCTTAAATCTCTTTTCAGATATATTTTTCTCTTTTTAGGTAATACGAGGAAATAGTATCATCATGTTAGAAGCCTTGGAACGAGTATAAATAATGGCTCTTCAGCGGAGAAATCCATGTCACCTCACCAAACAGCCTGTTTTTACTATGGTGTAAAAATCAGGTCATGTACATTTTTATATTCGACTTTTTGTTAAATAAACTTGTAATAGTCAAAAATGCATTCTCTCAGATGTTCTGAATATAGTAATAGAATACTAGCTTTAATTCTAATTTTTTCTAATGTGAATTTTCCTGGTTGAGACTGATTTCAAAGAGTTTTATGCAATAAAATAGAAGAACCTTATTAAATGTGAAACATGGCAAAGAACCTTTTTTTCCAACTCTCAGTAATGAACAGAGATAAGCTACAAATTGAGTTTCTTCTGAAACATTAACTATAATTTTCAAAATGTAATAGTAGTAACTCTGATTTTCTCTGACTTTTCCAAGTATATCTACATTCCAAGTATAGTACAACAGAAGTAAAACACAGGAATTATTTTTATTTTGAACATAATCATTAAGCGGAGAAAATTTTTGAATACAGGAGTAGAAACAGGATTCCAGAGAAAAACATTCCAGTGTATTGTGGTTCTTTATGAGTAGAGAAGGGTCTTGAGAATGCTGTCCACAATATATTTATCTAATTCATGAATTTTATTTCATGGCCCACAAGCTCAAATGAGATATATTACAAATGGTCATATTATAAACTTAACCTTTAAGAAACCTACCAAGCAAATGCTTAAGGCCTGTTCTTTTCATGATCTGGTAAAAGCCTATAAATCTTGAATCACTTTAAAACTGTAGAGAATGGATTGATTATATTCGAGTATGTAAGGTGCTTGTAAAACACAGAACACAGTGAATGGTGCATATATATATATCTAAAATGGTATTTCCTATTTATAGAAAATGTCACAACAAAAGAACAGCTAGAGGGATCAAACTAACTTAATCACAATAAGGAGAGTTGATAGGTCCAACACATTTTTATTCTCCCATTCAACAGTTCTCTTTAAATCTTCATTGATAATTTTTTTTTCCAACCACACAGAGCTGAATTGTAGAACTAGTTCTCTAGTGTGGTTCCCAGAACAGGGGCATCACCTGGGAACTTAATAGAAATGCAAATTTTTGTGTCCCACTACAAATCTGTTGAATAAACAAATTATGAGGGTGGGGCCCAGCAATGTTTTAACAAGCCCTCCAGCTAATTCTGATGCATACTCAACTCAGTTGGAGAACCACTACAGTACAACTGGCTTTCATTCTGCCCATGGATCATTTTTACAAGTCTCTTCTGTAAAAAGAGGACTAGAGTGGTCTCCTGGAGTAGCAAGCTCTGCGAGCGCGGTGCAGACCACACCGTGCCGAGGGTTGTGGTCCCCTTACCGGTCAGGAAAAAAAAAAAAAAAACAATTATTCTTAATACTGTAGTTGCATAAAACTACCTAATTTGCCTGGAGTAGCAGGCTGATAGTATTTTTCTTCCGGTGAAAAAGTATTCTTTTAATACTGTAGTTGCATTAAAACTACCTGACACGCCTAATACGTATTGATAACCTGTTTTGATTTCGAGAGAGCAATTTCAGATGCCCTATTGGAAAATTTAATCAGTAGGTTTGATATAATACCAACAATATTTTAAATTGGTGTTCTTACAAGTAAAAACATATCCCATGGCAAAACAAGTCTATAATGTTAGAAATTAAATTATTTCATTAGCATTTACCAGTATTTAGCATATACATGACAGTATTACATTCTCTACAAATTGTCTTCATTAAAACCACAAAAAAATATATATATATGAGAATGCCTCTTAACATACGTTAAGAATAAAATTAAGAGCTGGCTGGTTAGCCGAGTCAGTTAAGAGTGCTTATTTGTAACACCAAGGTCAAGGGTTCAGATCCCTGTACCGGCCAGCCATCAAAAAATAAAATAAAAATCAGAATCGTAACACACAGTTAGCTGCTGGTTATAGCACGGTGCTATAACACCAAGGTCAAGGGTTCGGATCCCCTTACCAGCCAGCCGCCCCCCAAAAAAAAAAATTAGAAAAAAGCTGACCCTTTGACAAACCATGAGTTTAATCCCTACCGGTATATCAAATATATGTTGGCAGTTTTATCAGCATATTAATATTCACAACTGTAGTAGGGAAGAAATCATTTACTAAGAATCAGCATTGTCTTCCATTTTGCTAAGGTAGCTACTTCCATAATCTGGTGAAGGACTTTCTTTCCCTAATAACAACAGTACATGTTAATTTGGTTGCAGTTACTTTTAGAGTTCATAAACTTTTACCTGTTTTGCTCTACAAGTGTCAGTGGCAGTCAGTCATGATTTTTGTACAGTACATGTAGAAATGGTTCTCAAGTTTGCCTGAACTTTAGAATCATGTGAGAAGCTTTAAAGCCCTATAGGCTCAAAGTGCAACCAACATTGACAGCCACTGCCTTAAGATTTCAGCAACCAGTTTCTCACCCAGAATGCTATAGTAATTTTGAACTGTTTAACACTTTGAACATATGCTAGATTTGGTCAAGCTTGGTATCATTCTAAATATCCTGCTCTAGTGCCAACTGCTCTGGAGTTAGATCTAAGTCACCTCTGCCATCAGACTGTCAGTGTTTCTTCCTACCCATCAAGCTTACTACTAAAGTTTTCATTGAGAGAAATCATTCCTTGCAAAATGGATCTGCTTTGATAATGAATTGGGTTTCTTAGGACTTTTAAGGCACTAAAAACCCTTTGTAGACATTTAACCCCCATATGAGTGATTCTCAACCCTGGTTGCACATTAGAAATTTTGAAAAGCTACAATATTGAGGTCCCATCCTCAATCCATTAAATCCAAATGTCTGGTTGTGGGGACCTATCAGTACTTTTACTATTTTTTTTTATTTATTTATTTTTAAAAGATGACCAGTAAGGGGATCTTAACCCTTGACTTGGTGGTGTCAACACCACGCTCACCCAGTGAGCGAACCGGCCATCCCTATGTGGGATCCGAACCTGGGGCCTTGGTGTTATCAGCACCGCACTCTCCCGAGTGAGCCACGGGCCAGCCCTAGAATGCCAATTTCTTAATACAGTAGCCTATATTTGTTTTTCATTTTACTTGAGGTCTCTGAATAACATCTTAAAATTATACTAGTAAGACTTCTGAATGTCACCCCTTATAAAAGCAAGACAGAAGCAATCAAAAGATAACATTCTGAAAGTCAAGCCTTTTTCCATGGGCACAATTATTTCAAGAAAGGGTATAAGAGGGGGCTGGCCAGTTAGCTCAGTTGGTTGCAGCGTGGTGTTATAACACCAAAGTCAAAGGTTTGGATCCCCATACCAGCCAGCTGCCAAAAAAACTTTTAAAAGAAAAGGGTATAAGAGCACCTGCCTGGGCAGGCACTCTGCGGCAGTGGCAGAGGTAGGGAGCTGGGGGGACAATAAATTACTAAGAGCCAGGCATAAAACACCAGCTCCCATAGTAGTTTTATCTGACTGAATGTCACATTCAGCTGTGAAGCTCAAGTGAACTAGTCCCTAACTAAGATGTCTTTTCTTCCTCAAGAGCTCAGCTTAAAATGCTCCTAAGGTTTTTATCAAAATACAGGGCCTTACCCCCAGACCTACTGAATCACAGTCTCCAAGAGAGGATCTTGAGAATCCATGTGTTTAACAAGCTCCAGGTGATTCTTAAGATCATACAAGTTTGGGAAACACTGCTGATGGATATTAAAAGAACAGTTATGAAATGTTGGAGATGGCATAAGTACAATAGTTACACATTCACACTTAATTAGAATCTTGTATTTTCTTATCCACGGGGATTACTTTTGTTAAACAATGATAATGGCAGAATATCTGACTCAAAATCATCTCTGCTCAGATTTTGTTTTTACCAGTGATATTCATTTAGAATTAGGAAGGGAAAAGAGAGAGTGTTATTTCATAGTTCAATTTTAAGTTTCTCATATAAGCCATCTTGGTCAATCATGTCTGTGTGCTGGTTCCAGCGGTGATAGGCAAGGAGCGCGGCATTGTGGGCTGCAATGGCACTCATTTCCATGGCACTTGCTGCACACTCTATGCCATTGAGGTAATAAAGTCGATCATGGAGTATGATGGACGGGCATTTCTCTGGGGGCTTATAGTGAGGATATGCAAGCCATGGCTTCTTTACAGCATAATCATAGGACAAAAATAGCTTTAAAATTTGTGCTTTAGTAAGAGTTTCTTGGGAAAAGATCTTCCAAACATATGTCCCATCTGTTGATGGTGGAGGATAGTTCTTTTCTCCTACAGAGGATACAATCCCAATGCTGTTAATGAACAAATTTGGATTATCAGTGGTTAAAACTGTAGTAAGGCCAAACTTATCTATGGCTCTAGAGCTAAAGATAGTTGTATTCAATTCCCCCTTAACTAATGTTGTTACTATATGTTGGTAGTATTGATGGAATTCCTCAACTGGAGGATCAAAATTGACGAAAGTTATGTTGGACATTTTTCGATTCAGTGGAGTGGCCACCAAGATGATGTCATAGAAGTCTGAACGGGTCTCAGATCCAGTTTGATATACCACTTCATACATCTTTGTGGGATTTCCTAAGGGGAATAAAGAAACATGTTAAATCTTTAGTGTTTTTCTTGGGTCAGCCCGTGGCTTACTTGGGAGACTGTGGTGCTGATAACACCAAGGCCACGGGTTCAGATCCCCATATAGGGATGGCCGGTTAGCTCACTTAGGAGAGCATGGTGCTAACACCAAGTCAAGGGTTAAGATCCCCTTACCAGTCATCTTTAAAAAAAAAAAAAAAAAAACTTCAGTGTTTTTTTTTGTTTTTGTTTTTTGGCAATTGGCCTGTATAGGGATCAAACCCTGGACCTTGGTGTTATCATCACTATGCTCTAACCAACTCAGCTAACTGGCCAGCCCTGAATCTTCAGTGTTTCTAATGTACTATACTTTAAACCTTATGGAAATAATTCTATACCTTCTTAATATAGTTTCTCTATAATTAAAGGAGTTTTACCCTATAAGAAAACTGACTCTGCATTTTTATTACATTGAGGCCAATTTCCTAATCAGAATGTCAACAAATACAAAAGATAGAATTTTTACTATTGAGGATGAGTTCTGTTTTTCTTTTGGGCTTATGGGAGGTTTTTTTTGTATCCAGCCAGTCCAGGGATCTGAACCTTTGAGCTAGGTGTTATCAGCACCACAGTCTCAGCTGAGCTAACTGGCCAGCCCAAGATTGTTTTCTAAATCCAAGGAGTCATGGCACTGTACTTAAGCACATTTGAGAATATTTCTGTGTGGCACAACATATACAATTTAAAGTTCCATCATTTTGGAACTAAGTGAGAGATGGCAAAAACAAGTTTTTCTCCCTGAGCAATAATTCTACAGGGGAAATAAGTTCAAGCTCACCAGTCTGCTTGGTCCTTGTTTTCTCCTCTATGTACATTACCGAGCCATGTATAAGATTGCCTTTGGAAGCCTGAAGGAGCCTTGAGCAAACAAGTTTATTGCCACCTTCTACTGCCCAAAGGCCAGAATCAGTACAAGCCAGTGACACTGCCCCTGTAAGCGGGAGGAAAAATAAAATTTAATCCTGACTTAGTAAGAGGCCCTGTACCCACTTTCCCTTCCCAACTAGATGGGCTGCTCAAATAGCCCCTGGTGATAAAAGCTCCCCCAGTTGAGAATTGCTGTACTGATAAAAGGAACTTCTCCCCCTAAAAATGCACATCGGCATATCACAATTTTGCTAACAATGTCTTAGGTTTACAGAGAAAGGTAATCTTTTCCAACCCATGATCTAAAGTCAGAAGCTGCTACAGCATCGGGGAAGCCTCTTTGTGAATTAATGTCCATTACTGTTCCAAGCTCTGGCTTACCAACAAAGGCATTGATGTCTGTGCTTTGGCCATAATTGACCCTCATGACAGGAGTAACGATTTCATTGAGGAATTTCTCAGAGAAGCCTGCTTTCTGCAAGGTTTCAAGAAGTGTTCGGTTAAGCATCCCAAGGAAGTCATCCCCTCCTAAAGCATGTAGTAGTTTTTCTACACTACTGAAGGCATAGTCGTGAGATTGATAGCGGTAGATCCTTTTGAAAAGAAGAGAAATGGCCATTAAACACCAAACAAGATGGGGGGGGGGGCGCATAAAGAAGGGAAATAGTGTCTTAAGAATCAAACTAACTTCCATGTTTCCTTCTGACAAGTTTCTACCTGTCATGTGAGACAAAGCTCAGCCACCATCTTCCCCAGCTCTCCCCAAAGCTCTTGGCTCTTCTTCTCCCTCCACCTTCTCTGCTAGTTCACTGTCCTTTGTATACACTGCTCCTTTTTGACATTAATATGGTCATTGGGAGGCACCTTTAAAACTATGAGTATGTCTTATTCCTCTTTATATCTTCCAGCAGCACTTATAGACATGTCTAAAATTAAGTTTTATCTTTCCACCAGGCTTGATCTTCTCTACCCACCCTCTAGCCCAATCAAAACTAACTGGCCACTCCTAATATCCTATATGTCATCCTTTTGTTCATTTAGTTTCAAAGCTTAAACATTTTTCACTTCTCCCACCCAAGCAGGAAACCTTATCTATCCTCCTAACATCTCTCTTGTTATTCCATTCTCACTTCCCTGATTTAAGTCAGGATTTATACTCAAACAAGTAAAATGAATAGCTGATCTACCTGCTTCTTCTAGTTTCTTTTCTTTGAAATATTTATGAATCTCCCAAAAGCCCTTTTATCTTGTCATCCATGTATTCAAAAAAGTCTTGTTTACTGTTGCTTACTAAATGAAGTCCAGATCAATTCAGCCTGATGTAAAAAAAAAAAAAAAGAATCATGGGTTTTACAACAAAAGTCATCAAGTCTAACTCCTTCACTCTAATTGCAGATAAAGAAACAAAGCAGAAGTAAAACACCTTGTCTGAAGGTTGCATGGCAAGTAGAAGGCTCAAACACAACTCCCCCTTGGCTGTCAACCACACACTCACACCTTCCACTTAAGCATACCTGACCCATTCACTGGTCTCTAAATATGCTCTGCATATTGTCTCCCCACTATTGGACAAGCTCTTCCCTCCAAATGGAATATAATTCTGATAACCAAAAGAATCTGATCTGTCCAGGTCAGCTAAATTATAATACCTTGGGAGATCTGGGATAAGGCAGTAATCACATCCACCTATCCTGGAACATGTTACATCTTACTTAGAAGTACCAATATTGGGCCGGCCCGGTGGCGCACTGGAGAGTGCGCCGCTTGAGAGTGTGGCGGCGCTCCCGCCAGGGTTCGGATCCCATGTGGAGACCGGTTCCCGCTCACTGGCTGAGCGCAGTGCGGGCGCAACACTGAGGGTTGCGATCCCGTTGCCGGTCCCCGGTACGGGCGCAACACCGTGGGTTGCGATCCCGTTACCAGTCAGTAAAAAAGACAAAAAGGAAAAAAAAAAAAAGAAGTACCCATAATGGCGCCAGAAAGCCATAAAATAACCAAGAACACTTCTTATTACCCTTCCGCCAGAACCCTGCATATAGGATGTATCCTAGTAATAATTCCAAAACTACGTGTCATATACTACCAATAGAAAGCCTGATGAAGTAATTATATGGGGCTGTCTTTCTCTCCCTCTCTCCTTTGACCCTTCCCCTTCTTGTTATTACAAGATGTTAAGCTCTGCTGGCCCTCTTTGGAACACATTTTCAGGACTGCCTGATCTACATGTCTCCCTGGTTGCAACTGTCATATTGGCTTAATAAATCCTTGCTACATGTATTTGGTCTCAGTTTCTTTTTAGGTCAACACTTCACATTCCCTAACCACAGAACACCTATACTTCCTTCAGAAAGCTTGAATCCCACCTCCTCTGAAAAGTCCTGCCCAACTTCCTAGTCCACAGTAATGTGATAACCTCCAAAAGTCCCATAAAACTTAGCACCAATGCCACTTGTTCAGCACTTAGATACTACTTTACATTATTATTTTTTTTTAATTGTCTGACATTTCTCTGCACTTTATGGATTTAAAAGAACATTAATATAAATTAGTGCATGCAGTAATTCAATACACAATTTTTCAGGTTGCAAGTGATACAAAGATGAGAAAGACATGGTTCCTTTCCCTCAAGGAGCTTACAGTTAAGGACAGGTAATAAGCACATACACAGATAAGTATATGAAACAAAGGAAGAAAAAAGAGCCAAAGAAAGATAGATCCCTGTCAGTGATCACAGGAGGAGAGCTTTTACATCAAGTTTCTTCTTTCAAAATAAACTAATTTTTTTGAGAGCAAAGGACAATACTATAACCATTTCAATATTACCTACTGTCTAAGAGTGTAGTATACAAAATGTTGAATAAGCTTTTATGGGAAAAATTGATTAGATATCAATGCCAAAACTGAGAAACTAAATTAGCACCTTCTATCATATCATTTGGGTTCTAGTATTCAGTAGACTGAAAAAAGTAGGAAGAAGACACTTGAGTTCTTTAGAGAAATAATAGACTGGATAGCTCATAAAATGAATCTTTGGCTAATGGTCAGCATGACAAAATAGTTGTCAATTAAATAACCTATAAATGATGCTATAAAAAATTTATGCCCCCCGTCCTCCTACCTGAGTTGCAACCCCACTCAAGCAAGCCTCCTAAAGAAAGCCCTCCTGGAAGGTGAGATGAGACAACATCTACAATATAAACACTGAGCATTGTAACTGTTTTATGATACTGGTTGCATTAGAATAAATATTACTGAGACTGGCCAGTTGGCTCAGTTAATCAAAGTGCAGTGTTGTAACACCAAGGTCAAGTTCAGATCCCCATAGCAGCCAGTCACCAAATTTTTTTTAAAAAGATTAAAAAATAATAAATAAATTTAGGCCGGCCCGGTGGCGCACAGCTACAGTGCGCCGCTTGGGAGCGCGGTGGCGCTCCCGCCGAGGGTTCGGATCCCACATACAGACCGGTTCCCGCTCACTGGCTGAGCGAGGGGCGGGCGCAGCACCGAGGGTTGCGATCCCGTTGCCGGTCCCGGTCCGGTACAGGCGCGACACTGAGGGTTGCGGTCCGTTGCCAGACACGAAAAAAGACAAAAAAGGCAAAAAAAAAAAAAAGAATTAAAGGAAAATAAATAAATATTACTAAAAATTAGACGTGGGGCCGAGCCCGTGGCGCACTCGGGAGAGTGCAGCGCTGGGAGCACAGCAGCGCTTCCGCCACAGGTTCGGATCCTATATAGGGATGACCGGTGCGCTCACAGCGCTCACTGGCTGAGCGCGGTGCAGCCAGTCTCAAAAAGGACAAAAAAAAAAAAAAAGAAATTAGACATGTGAATAACCAGTAATTTCTGCTAGTCAGACTGCTTGCTTATACAGCCTTTTATTCTTTTCAAATTACATTTGCATAATCCTTAATATTGATATATTTATTCATTGAACAAATATTTATGGAGCATCTACTTTGAGCCAGGTACTGTTCTATTCCCATTCTCCTCTGACCAGCTCTGCAGTAGCCTTGAAAACCAGTAGCCTTGCAACTGTAACATCTATGAAACCAGCAAAGTGGAAGCCACTAGAGAGGACAGAATGGGTTTGGAGTTCCCAAAAAGCACCATCCCAAGAGAACTGTCACTATTTGGACTATCTGGCAGTTCACAAAAGCTCTATCCTCAGAGTTTGTCTCTATTCGCCCTGATACACTCTGTATAAACAGCCCCATCCTGAAGGCATTCGTCAAAAAAATTAGTGGCAATACTTGAATATCACAGCCAGCTGAGGCTGTAATACCAACTGGGGCTAACAAGAGGCTGACCAAAAACTTTAAAAAGAAATACTGGAAAATGAAAATAACCAATATGTTATCAGGAATCTAAAAGCCATGTGCATGTGTAAGACTGTTTACATGCCCAGGAAAGACCTGAGAAGGCCCTAATCTGTCACCGCTGGCTGACCTTGAAGCTTTGAGCAAGCAGGAAATGAAGGCTAAAGTAGAGCTGTAAACTGCCTGCCAGATTGTTGAAAACATACCCCAACCTGACAAAGAATACAGGCTTTACAGAATTAGTCCCAGAAAGTCTCTAAATAAACCAACAGCAGCAACAGCAACCAAGGAGAAGTCCTGGGGTGGAGAAGAATCTGATTTCCAGAGTTGCCACATAGTATTATTTTAAATGTCCAGGTTTCAACAAAAAATTATGACATACTCAGAGAACAAGAAAGTACGGCTTATACAGGAAAAAATAGAATCAACAGAAACTGTACCTCAGGAAGCATAGATGTTGGCCTTACTAAAAACTTTACATCGGCTTTTTTTTTTTTTTGGCAGCTGGCCAGTACTGGGATCTGAACTCTTGACCTTGGTGTTATGACACCATGCTCTAACCAACCAAGCCAAGTATCCAGGCAGTTATAATAAATATGTTTGAAGAACTAAAGGGAACCACATTTAAAGAATTAAAACAAGTATGAGAAGAATGTCTCACCAAATACAGAATATCAATATAGAGGCAGAAATTATAAAAAAGAACCATACAGAAATTCTGGAGTCGGGGGTAGGCCAGTTAGCTCTGTTCGTAGAGCATGTTGCTCACAACACCAAGGTCAAAGGTTTGGATCCTCCTGCCAGCCAGCCACCAACAACAAAAAAAGTAATTTTGGAGTTGAAAAGCACAATATTTGAATTTTAAAATTCACTATAGGAAGGCCGGCCCATGGCTCACTCGGGAGAGTGCGGTGCTGATAACACCAAGACCACGGGTTTGGATCCTATATAGGGATGGCCGGTTAGCTCACTGGTTGAGCGTGGTGCTGACAACACCAAGCCAAGGGTTAAGATCCCCTTACCGGTCATCTTTAAAAACAGAAACAAACAAACAAAAAAAATCACTATAGGGCTTAACAGCAAATTTTAAATGGCAGAAGAATCAAACTTTGGGGGGGGTTGGGGGGGCAGCTGGATGGTACAGGGGGGACCCAAACTCTTGACTTTGGCATTATCAGCACCATGCTCTACTGGAGAATCAGCAAACTTGAAGATATGTCAATTGCAATTATTCAGTTTAAGGAACACAAGGAAAAAAAGAATTAAGAAGAATG